TTTGAACCACTTTTGGGATGTTGTCTCTTTAATGGTTTTACTTGTATTTCGAACCACTTTTAGAATGTTGTCTTTTTGTGTTAAGGTTATGCCTTTCATTTTGGAATACTGTCAATTATGTAATGTTTAATGAACATGTGTATGGAACATGTCAATGTTTCCTAGAATTCCTTTAATGTGTTATGGACATGTGTATTGAACACATTTATCTATTAATGTCAACTATGTATTATTGTCAATTAAGTTTATTTAGAGAACTATAAATCACTTAAGTATGAATCAACAAACTACTAAAATGCCAAAATTTAGAAACTGGTATATAAACAATCCAATAGGAATAAAATTAAACTGATACATACCAAAATATTGAGTACATTACAATGATATCATGCCAATAAATTCAACGAATAAATACCAAAACATTAAACTGATACAGACATGGAATTTAGCTAATACATCCCAAGACAACACATAATCTTAAAACATGAAGAAAAAAAACCAATATAGAGAACATTATAAAACACATCATATTCCAAACAAAAAAAATCCAGTTCAAGATCTTCTTCATCTGACTTTAAAGTTCAATCAAATCTTTCCTTAATTCTTCATTTGTCAACCTAACTTTTTCAAACTTTATTTTTGCACCATCCATTTCCTTTGCTAAATTTTCCAACCTACTCATCATACATTTCCTTTTCTCATCTTTGACATCCTCATAGAACCATTTGAAATACCCATACCCAGGTTGCAAAGATCCTTGAAATTTACAAAAAAATGAAGTTAAAACAATGGAAACTCTAACTGAAATTAGCGTGCGAACGATTTGTACATAAAACATGCATACTTTAAAATGTGGACACCCCCAAAAAAGTTTTCCATAACTCTTGGCCCTTGTTACCCTATGAAGAACAACTTTGTATCTATAATGGCAAAAGAGTTTCCATGGCAGATTCGAGCTCGTGAATACATTGGAGTTCAATCTTCCATATATTTTTTTTTTCAAGGAGGATGAGCAACAACCGAATTTCATGACTGCTCCAACATTAACCTTCAATTCCTAGAAATCGATGAACAATTAAAAAAATACTAAGCCCTAATTCGATTTTGAGATGCACACCATGTATAACTCAGTCAAATTAAGGAAGATGAAGTTCAACTGACAAGTCAGCTACCACACATACACTCATAAACAGGTGTTTGCATTAAATAGACGGAAATTGTAACACCCCAATTATACTCGACAATTATATATATAAATCAGAGTTATAAAATTCGGCAACCGAATCAGGATGCTACAAATTTCAACTAAAAACAACGGCATTCATTGCAGATACATAACACATTAACTTGGATGAACCAACAACAACATAATTTAACCCTTTTAAAAATCAAAAACTTTCATAACTTCGCAGCGGGATCAAATATTCAACTTAAAAGAATATATCATCTTTGTCCAACTAAACAACTTAAAATAACAAGCATTCAACTAAAAACAACTTAAAGTTCAACAACTGAAATAATAACAACAATAAACTAGCAAGCGTTCATCACCCCGAGTATTACGTATCAGAGCAATGACACCGACTCGAACTACTGAAGGTAAACCACCTTCACTCTTGATTACCTGCACGTTACCAACAGAGGGCAACATTCAAACAGAAGGGGTGAGATATCAAACATTATAATAAGATGTATGATAATATTACATTAGAATTAGTCTATGCAAAATCACCGCTTCACAACTTTAAACAACATCAATCACAACAAAACATCAATGAAACATAATAATTAATTCATCAACACGACAACTCAATATGCAATGTAAAATGCAACTTGTTACTATGTGGCACTAATGGAGCAGAACTCCCATCTTAAAAACGTAGCAGAGCTCCCATCTTAGAAATTGCCAATTAATAGAGGCATCAACAAGGCATAAGCCTTCTTCGCAGTTTTCCAGTCCAGGCCGTCGCAAAATATGCAAATGTATGTGACTCAATAAATGCATTATCACATACTCACAACAATCATCGTTCATCGTAGGGAATAAGCCTATATCACCATTATTATCAGTAAATAAAGGTAATTCATCATCATTTAAAACTCCCTGCAACTTTGCATTATCAACAAAATTCACAACAACAATCACAACAACACAACAACATTGGCATAAGCCTAAAACTTAATAATAATTCAACATAAAATAACATAAATCAACGTTGGTCATAAGCCTACAACTTAATATCTGCCCATAATTAGAGGCATCTCAACATAAATCATCAACCTGTGATTTCTCAACTCAGAACAACTTACACAACAACTAAGAAGAATAACAACTAACTTATACTCCTCGGTCCAACCTGCAACTTCGTTCCGCTCGACAACAGTATTGTACTCCTTAGCACGTCTCGCAGCCTAATGCCGCTGGACATCCAACAAATATATTCCCCGACACACTTCGCAGCCTAAACGCCACTCAACACTTAACACTATCAGCATCTTCCTCGACCACTAGTTCGGCCAACAACACAGAACAACACGACGTCATAACGACCACATTAATGCAATTCATAACTTCCGACCAACTGCTCAGAATACCACAGTAACAGGCAACTATATTTCCTATCAACAAATTCGTTCATTGTATAAGACATTCACACATAAACCTTCCTAATACGACCACAACAATAATTCCTAATTTCCTGCCAACTGTCCGGGACATCACAGCATCATAATGACCACATCACCCAGTGATGAACTACACTAACCTAATCACTGATCCTACCGGGAGATCATACATACAACTCAAAACGTCCACAACACTACTAACGGGCAACTATAACAACAGTTCATTAATCATGCGATACGGTCATACAGTGACTCCCTAACGACCATAACATATAGAGAAACGAGTAACTATAACAAATCCATAAACATCAACACACAGTCATATATATATATATATATATATATATATATATATATATATATATATATATATATATATATATCATAAATCTCATTATAAGGTCAGAACCCCACCCTTACCTGGATTGAAGTTTGCTCAACCAAAGCTCCGACCGTAATCCTTGTTTTGCTCTGCTCGATAAAGGGTAACTTGCTCCTTCCTCCGTGCAGCTCTTACGATCAACGTACAAACCCTTAATCACCAACTAAATCAAATCCTTGTGTCAGCTTAACCTTATATCATTAATCTATTGGGCTTAACTTTCACGCCTCCACTTTACTACTTCCAACCAATAAAATAGGCCCAACACAATTACTCCATTAAATCTAACATTATTATTATTATTATTAATCAACTAATTAATTAATTAATAATAATCTAACAACTTATACCAACAATTCTCAACATCTCACAACTGTTCAACAAATAATCCAAAAATAATTTAATTAAATAAGTAATTAAATAAATAGGCGTTACAAAAATGACTCATCTGCCATCATTTTATTAGCTAAGGGATGGATTTGAACATTTAAAAATTTTAGAGACCAAAATGGAAGATAAAGTTAAGGGATGAAAAATTGTATTTTGCCATTAATAAAAAATAACTTTATAAAATAAATAGAATATACAATCGCAATTTACAGTGTCAATGAATCAGCATCATGTATTCAATCAAATCAAATTGTAATTTTTAAATTAATGGTACATGATTAAGTAAGAAATTTTTATCAGACGATACTTACACAATCACAACATAACCATTAAACTCAAATAAATAATAAATTTTGAATTTAATTAATATACACGAATGATATAGAAATTTTTTATACTGTCAATTAATTTTAATCATTAAATTTTAATATATATATTTGACTTTTTCTTTAGTCATATTTAAAATATTTTGCCTTAAATGCACTTTTAGTCCTCTTATTTTTCACATTTTTTAAGTTTTAGTCTCTCTATTTTAAAAGTCAACTTTTTGATCTTAAACTTTACCTTATTCGGAAATTCATTGATCCCCTCTAATTTTACATATGTGACGTCTTTATCAATGATATGGAACTCTTACAATAACTCTACATGAACACACATTATAGAGAATTATTGTACCAGTGTCATGTCGTTAATAAGTGTGCCACATATGCAAAACTATACGAGGATCAACAAAATCCCAAATAAAATAAAATTTAAGAACAAAAAAATTGATTTTTAAAATAAAAACTAAAACTTAAAAAACTTGAAAAATAATGCATAGAAATACATTTAAGCCAATAAATGATTATGATGTATGGATGATAATGTAAAATTTTGTATTCCAATTAATTAATCTTGTAATCTTTTTTTCCTTTTCCATATAAAATGAAGTGACAAAATATATACTCATCTATTTTAAAATTAATGTGATTTTAAAGAAAAAATTTATTTTATAATAAATATTATTATTATTTTTCAATGTAATAATAATATCTATTTTTTTAATTGTGATCTATAATTATTATTCTGTATATTAATAAGATTAATTTAATAAAAATACAATCTCTCGTGATAATATAATTATATTTTTTAATGTGTGTGCAAAAATCTTAATCAATATTCATGAGGTAGTACCGTGATGGCAATTGTAGCACAAGGCCGCCACCTGTCCTCAGCATCCGACACAATCTAGGATTCTAATTACATCCAATCCAACGTTTCCAAAGCTATCATTCCTCACGTGGCAAACATCTCATGGACAAGTATAATAAACCGCACAACACATAAACACGCCCCAAAAATCGCTCCTATCAAATTATATCATTCACCACCTCTTCTCTCACTCTCTTCACTTTTTTTCCCTTTTCTTTTTCGCACCCAAATTTCACTAATTCTGTCCCTTCTTCGTTTCTCTCTGTTTCACCCATATCTGGGGTTTCCTTTCTCACTTTCCTCTAATCAACAACAGCAAAAAACCACCCTCAAATTCAGCTTCTGGGGTTACGAATTTTTATTTATTTTTTGTTTTTTTATTTATTTTTGAATTTTGTGAGGAAGAATAATGTCGAAGAAGAAAGTTAGTGGAAGCACCATGACGCTCAAGGACTTTCATGGCGGTTCTATACCCTCTGATCTCCCTCTCCCTTCGGCTCCCGGCGTGTAAGAATAATCTGATTTCGTTATTTGAGAGAGAATTTGTCAATTAGATCTACGCTGTTTAATTTATCATGATTTGTTTATTTGTTTTTATTTTATTTTATATGGTTTGATGTGATCACTGTGATGATGAGTTGTTTAAATTAATGGATCTGTTTATGTGAAGAGATTGTGGTGATTTATTCTTTTTGTTTCTGTTTTATAACAGAACTGTGAGGCCTTCCGACCGTGTTGGTTATGATCGGCCTGCTTCATGGGGAGCCCCGATGGGGAGGCCGGATCATTGGTCTCGGCCCCACACGTCGCCTGCGACTAGGCATTACGATGACAAATCTCTGTTTCTTCCGCATACTACTCAGATTGGGAGGAATTTTGATGAGGATGAGAGAAAGCCGTTGGATGGAAGTTCGGCCCCAAGGAGACAAATTAGTGACGAGACATTCCGTGCTCCTCTGCCTTCTCGTGTTGAGGTGAAGAGAAGTAGTTCATTGAGCAGGCAGCTGGCTCCGGTGTCCCCTGTTGGGAATGTTAATTCGTACTCGGCCAGGCTTACTGAGACGGTTCATGTGGGGGTAAATTCTCAGAGTTTTGGAGGTAGTAAGGAGCATGGACCTGCTGCTAATGCTTCTGGTGGTGGCGGTGGCGGTGGTTATCCAAATGCGTGGTCCATGAGGAAGGAGGTGGCGGCTGCTGTTGAGTCGGAACAAGCTGCTTGGTCTGCTGCTAATGCTGTTTCCAAGTTGACTCATGCTAGTGCCCTTGATAAGGTGGCTTCTGGTAGATGGCAGTCGGTTCATTATCAGACAGATGTTGAGGCGGTCAGACCTTCCGAAGTGGAGAGTAGACCGCATGCGTTTATTAATAGTAATAGGATGGATATAGTGCGGCAAAATGAACATTCTGATGAAATGCTAGCAAGACATGCTGAAAGGAGTTTAGGTATTGATAACCAGATGCGAGGTGGTAGGAATGAGTTATCAGAACATGATAGGTCGGGGATTTCCAAGTATTCAGACATGCGTCCGAGAAGTGTAGGTCAGTTTTCTGACAGGGTTCAGCCTGCTCGAACTGATGCTAAAGTTGTTGGCTCTGAATCACAGCACCATATAGCTTCTGAACCAATTGAGCGACCTAAACTCAAGTTGCTGCCAAGAACAAAGCCGCTGGAAAGTTCAGAACCTTCTGTTACAGAACACACCCAGGTAATCACATATTCAACTTATGAGATTCAGTTTTTTTACATTCTTTTTTTTCACATTTTAAATGCTTTCATTTTCTCTCCATGTTAGGGATATCGTCAAGTTAATGATTCTAGCCATGTTGAACCTGTTTATCAGGGACATGGGCATGCCAATCTTGTGAAGCCAGTTTCGGCTGGAACCGAAAGTGGGAAGGATTTAGGACAGCGTCCGAAGCTGAATCTGAAGCCTCTGAAGCCCCGGCCTGAGGTCTATGAACAGTCAGAAGGAAACAAGGAAAGAGACAGGTCAGTTGCATGAGACAGTGAGCTGAAATGTTTTTCATTGTGTTATTATATATTCCCTCCATTTCAAAATGACCATTGTTTTAGCAAATCAATTTTGTTTCAAAATGAATGTCATTCTCAATACATCCAACACATTTATAAGGTTAATTTAGTAAAAGTGTAATGTCTTATGACAATATTATTACACTCATTAATCTGTGTGCAAAATCTTAAACGACAATCATTTTGAAACGGAGGGAGTAGTTATGTGTTATTATTATTTTGTGGTGGATGTATGAATGTGGTGTTAATAATGTTAGATGGTTCAACCTTACCATAAACTGTAGCCATACCATAGGTCTACTTCCACAAGCTAAAGATATTGAAATATGAAAATATACTATGGTTAAAGATCACAATGAGTGACCGCTATCACTTAAACCCGAATTCAAATAATCAAAATACACCAAAATTACTGAATTAGGTAGATACACGCGTACTCAGCTGTTCAGGTCAGGTCAAGTTGAAAAGTACACACAAGCCACTTATATAATGAATAGTTAAAGATTTAGGTTGTCTATGGCAAAAGTGAAGAACATTTGTGTCATGTGAGTATGAGGCTGCACGTTTTCACTATGAGAACACTAGTCTTAGATGACTTTATTAGATTTGTCAGTTGACCACCCTATAAAAACTTATTTGCTTTATGGTAGATGATAGAGTACCCAAATATTCTTCTGTATTAACAGAGAATATACGTTTTTTTAAGAAGTACATTCTCTGTTGTTGCTTTGATGCTCATTTGCAACTTAGAAATCTTCATGTTATAATTTTTTGTGAAAGTCCAGGATCGCAATTTATAACTTGTTAGAATTGACCTTTGAATTAGAATTGAGCCCTTAGATTTAAATTCTAAATTTCTTGTTTTTTATACCCTTTAGCATTGACCAAGGAATTAAAAACAGTTAAACAGTGCCATATGTTTGCTTTTATTCTTATCATTATGAGGAACGTTTTATGTTTTCTGTTGTGAATTGTCATTGTCAAATATCAATATGGTCTCCGTTGAGCTTCACAACGGCGGATATGACACTTGTGGTTTGGAAATACGATGCTCTTAGTATCAGATCAAGAATTATACATATACTCGCCCTGTCTCTATTTATAAGACTTTGACACATTTTACATATATTAAGAAAAATTGGTAATGTAACGAATGTGTATGTGTATGTACCCTTTGTGTATGTCTGCATTCAATGTTGATTTTTATTATTCCAAAGCAAATTGGTGGTATGAACATGGGATATATTTGAAAAAAGAGCAATCATATATCTAACGATTTGTAGAGTCTTATATTTAGAGAAAGAAACTTTCCAAAAGGATCATATAATTAGGGATTGATGGATTATTTAATTTAACTCTGTTGCTTCTCAATCATTGCCTAGCATCTCTTAGGATTCCTGAATTATGTTTACTGTTCCTGACCTGTCCATTTGAAGGGTTCGAAATTATGCTTTTGTTTCAAAGCAAGTCTGCAAGTGAATATTAAGTGCTGGCTATGTTGAGCTTTGTAATTTCTTAATTTCTTAAAAATTTTGGTGAATGCTTGAAATTCATGGACTACTTTCAGCAAGTTTATTTGGTTAGTTATCCCATGCTTCCCGTTTACTAATGGATGGAACAACTGATGCAAATGTTTCAGGAATGCTTTATTTGGTGGAGCTCGTCCTCGAGAATTAGTAAGTTCTTTCATTTATTTATCATCCTGAATAGCTGTTAAATTAATGCCTTGCTATCATTTTTCGGCCAATGAATTCTCTCCTGCAGAGGAGAGTTGATGAGACAATTCGAGAGTGGGAAGGGGATGAGTGGAGAGGATCCAACCCCTATTTTATGGCGCATGTTAATTTTTGGTCCTGTTAAAATGTTTATCCTCTTTCCGATTGAATTCCCCCTACCCCTACTAGTTATGTGGCGGCTTTAAAGGTCTTGTAGTGCCAAATGCAGCAACTGACATAACTTTATGTTAAATTGTCAACTACCTATTGCCAAAATAACTTTGTTCAAATTCTGCTACACATCACTGCTGGCTATTTGGCAACATTTTGTACTATTAGTGTATTACGGAATATTAGCAAATTTTCCAAATTTCTATCCACTATAGCGCGATAGCTGCTATCTAACAACACTGATGTTACTCTCATCTTTTCATCAGGTTTTGAAGGAGCGAGGGGTTGATGATGTTGCAATAAAAAACTATGACGTGGTTGAGAGTTCAAACAGGTAAGAACTTGTTTTTTGTTTGTTTGCTTGCTTGTGAGATTATATAATATGGTTACCCAAGTCTAATTCAACGCTTCTCAATAAACTATGTATTGTGAAGGGTTGAACAAAACATTTTGAGGTCTGAGAAACTTCACGATCATTCAAGCCAGACTCGTTATGGTGAAAAAACCGACGATGGTCTCAATCAAAGAACAGGCCGAAAACCTGAAAGGAAGGAGCAAAAGGTAGATGGTGACAGGGCTCTTGGACAGAGAAAGAATTGGCGCAGTGGTGATAATAATAATAATAATAATAATAATAGTAATAATAATAATAATAATAATAATAATAATAATAATCATCATCGGAGAAACCCGAGGGAAACTGATAGGCAACAAGTCTCTGAGAGGCAATCTTCACCTGAAACATGGCGCAAGCCTGTGGAATCATCTCAAGGTGCCGGTGCCGATGGTCCACGCTACAGTAGAGCAGCTTCAGCGGTTGAACTTGCTCAAGCATTCTCAAAATCCGTGTCAGATCCCAAAGTAAATGATAAGTTTTCAGTTCAAAGGGACTTGAACAATGGAAGGCCACAAGTTCCCTTTTCACGGCTTGTTGGTCCTACTACTTCAAGACCTCAGATAAATGGTTATTAAGTCTTTGGTGGAAAATTGGGACCTATTAGAGACCTGGAGACAGCATTTGTTTGGAATTAGCTGAATATTCCATGGAGTGATTGTAGTTTTACTGATACTGATTTTCCTGAGTGAGAGAATTAAAACGGTTGCTAGGTGCAAAGCATTTGTTATGACGACGTCTAATTACAATCGCCATTTCTTGTTTTATTTCTTGACATGTATTTTTTTTCTTCTCTTAATCTTTGCATCTCGCTGTTATTTTTGGTTATTCAAGATCATGATTTTGGATTTCAAATTCTAAAATAATTATTTCAACATATTTCACGCTAGCCTGTTTTTAGAGTATAATAATATGTATACAAGTTATTTTGTCACTTTCGTATCGATCCTCTAACTTTGAGGAGGGAACTTCTCTCTAATTTTCTCTCTATTTCTCTCCTATTACACACTCTCACCCTCAATTTTCGATGTCATGGGTTTCATCTATTTTGCAGGAACTTGAGTTTACTAATATTTATGTTATATGAATCTTGCTATTAGTTTTATGTAAAAGACAGTATATATACAATTATTAATGAAATCATGAGTATAAATTTTGTAAAAACACATTTCACATAAGTAAGACTTAATGAAGAATTTTTTAAATTGCCACTTAATTAAGTTTAGTTTAATAAAATTCAAATTTTAAACTTCTAAACATTGTCGATAAAAAAAGAAGAATTAATTATGTAAACAAATAATTAATCTTTATTCTCAAATCACGTTGTTTTCCGATACAAACTAAATGCATATCATAAAAAAAGCATGGTCTTAGATATAAATATTTCTTAAGAGGCTCGTGAATTTAATTATTGATTAAATATTGAAGTATAAGGTTAATATTCATTTATCCTTTCGGTAATATAAGCGAGTATAGATTTATCGAGGTAAAAGACTTTAGAATTTTAATATTTTAAATGATATATCAATTTTTTTTTAAAATGGAATAAATTAAAAGGATAAATAACTATTAACCTAATATTAAAGAATTGAAATAAGACAATAGTTGTTGTTAGCGTTTGAAATCGAGTGTTGTGTAACATTTATCAATATATGATGTACAGTTTACTAGTTTGCCATTTATCAAAACAGTCTATGGATCCCACATTGGAAGTTGGAAAACATTATAGTATAATTTATAAATTTAGTGTAAATTAGTTGTAAGAGTAGATAGCAAAGTGGCTGGCCTGACATCAATTACGTATATATAGCACTATAAATAAAGCTTGTGAATAAATAGAAAAACATATATAATTTTTTAATTCAAGGTATTGTGTGTGCTGTCGCTCTGTCTGTACAGTCACATGGCTGGGGCTGAGTTTCTATATAGATTTATTTTATTTAATCATTAACTAAGACTTTGTTTGAAAGAGAATAGAAGAGAAAGAAATGGAAGAGAAGGATTTTGAAAAAAGGAAGTATAAATTGAAAAAAAATAGAAAGATTTTGATTCAAGGAATTTTAGAGGGTTTTGTTTTTTAATACAACACTACAACATTTAGGCTCTCCAGCAACAATTGAAAAACGTTGTCAGAACTCTGAAAATCGTTACCTAAAACAATAGGGGACGTTTTCTGGGCGTCTCCTGTGCGAGCGTTGCCTATTGTTTGAGGCAACGTTTTTTTATATTTTTTGGGAACGTTTTTGAAAAACGTTGCCTATAGTAAAGGAATAGGGGACGGTTATTTACGGCCTCTGAGACAACGTTTTTTAAGCGTTGCATTGCCAAATTCGGCTACAATTAACAATCGTTGCCTTAAACCTGAATCAGGAAGATCGTTTTTGAAGTGCAGCCATAGCTTATAGGTTGTTGTTTTATAGTGTCCACATAAAATATACAATTTTGCAATTATTATCAAAATAATATAGTCAATAATAATTAGCTTCAAAAATAATATTGATTATATAATTTAAACCATACATCCATAAAAGTTGTAATATAATAAAATCGAGTTCAAACTTTAATTCAAGATATAGTATATAGAGTACACAAAATGCCTAACGTAACAATATTACTTTTAATACTTTGAAGTTTGACCCTAGTAAAATAACTAAAAACATAGTTCAGCAAAAGAACAAAAATCATATTTCAAGTTTAATGCTTTCAACTACAAGCCAAAAAAAAGACATCATCCAACTCATTCAAGTTTGTCTTCTAGGAGTAAAGCATCCAGATCGTCCTCTTGAAATTCGTTAGATATGTCATCCTCCATAAATTCTTCATCTACGTCGTCCTCTTGAAATTCACCATCTATATCCTCCTCTTGAAATTCATCATCTAGATCTATGTCGTCCTCTTGAAATTCGTCATCTACGTCGTCCTCTTGAATTTTATCATTTAGGTCGTCCTCTTGAATTTTATCATTTATGTCGTCCTCTTGAATTTCATCATTTATATCGTCCTTTTCAACATCTTCGTTGATACATTGCTGCATAAGAAAATAAAATAAAACACATTAACCATAAGTATTTTTGGTCCAAAGGACAATTAAGACATCAACAAGAATTAAACCTCGCACAAATAAAAACTAAACCAATGAGCAAAACACATTGTTTATATTCTTCACATCTCATGGATGTGAATTAATTATGAAGGTTTTTAATGGATGTGAATTTTCGTTCTAAACTGTAATAGGTGACATGAGCTTACTAGCAAATAAATCAATTATGAAAACCATTCTGTTTTTGGCTCACTATTCAGTACTTACAATAGCCTTTAACTGTATGTATGTATGTATGTATAACTTCTGCTATCCTTTTATGTTTATTTTTTGGAGTAAATGAACTCTGATGAACACTCTTACTTGTTGTATCTTCTTTGGTGTTCAGTATCATATGGATAAATTTACAGCATACATAGTGAGTGTTATCAAACAAGGGGTCCCATAATCTTATCCCAGGCAAGTATGTTTGTGAAATATCAATGAAAGCTCGCACAAATAAAACAGTTTCAGCCACTTCTAGGTGTTGTCACTACTTAAACAATTTCAACCACTTACTTTATTCTAGGTGTTGTCACTACTTGCAAATTTTTGCATACATTAACAACCATTTTGATACTATAACATAATTAGAAAAATATAAATCAATAATATTGGTATATATGGTTACCTTTCCATGACATGGAGCATGAGTTGATGTAGATGAATGCATTTGCGGTCTTATATCCTTTGGGGAACTATTAGCATCTCCATGAGATAATCCTAACAAATCTTCAATTGACTCTATATTAATTTGAGGATTGCATTGTTGTATTACGGTCTTAAAAGCATTTTGCAATCTATCAATCTTATCTTGAAACTCGTCCCTTAATATAGAGACCTCTTCATTGTGGGCTTGTTTCAAAGCATTAATCTCTGCCTTTCTCTTTAAGGAAGTTTTAGTTATGTTTCTCCCATAACAGCGTACCCTGCCTGGACACTCCTTTCCAAAAAAAACTTTAAAAGCTTCTGTATCACTTTCCTCCTTTTCAACCATTTCTTGAAGTTGGGACTAGCATAAATTACAAAAAAAAAAAAATATTAGCTACTATTATAGACAATGTTGGCCGATTATATTAAGCAAACGTATTATATAAACAATGTTACATACAATTACTTTTCCAGTTTCTACATTCAGTTCCTTTCCTTTATTTCCTTTTCGAGTTTCAACAAACATTTCTGATTGAGTGGACTCTCTTTTTTCCTTTTCACGCTGCACAAATCAAAATAATTCCATAACAAATTATGTGAATAGTTATATACTGTTAATATTGGCGGATAGTTATATACTGTTAATACAACAGGCCATGTGCTATGTGAAAGACTCATGGTCCTAAATGGATTAAACCCATCACTTGCCAACCCAAGTCTGATGTTACGAGTTTCACGAGCAAAATCTGAATGTTTGGCATCAAAGTCTTTCCATGCTTGGGCATCAGCTGGATGCCTTAACTTCCCATCCCTTGAACGATGGTCTGCGTGCCACCTCAATGTATCAGCTGTCTTTGAACACATAAAAAGTCTTTTCAATCTTGGAATCAATGGAAAATGTCTTAGAACTTTGGCGGGAATCTTATGAGCTTTTATAGATTCTTCAAGATCATTAGCAACTTCAGGATATTCAATCCATCTTGACGTGCCACAAATATGACATGAATCATCTTTCTCGTGATCTTTCCAAAACAACATGCAGTTGTTCGGACATGCGTCAATCTTTTTATAGTCTAAGCCCAAATCTTTTATCATAGATTTTGTTTTATTGAAAGAGACAGGGATGTTCAAATCTGGCATAGCCTCTTTTAACAACTCTACGAGAGCAGTGAATGATGCATTACTCCATCCATGGAGACATTTCAACAAATAAATTCGAATAGTGAATGATAACGAGGAAAACTTTTCACAACCAGGATACAACTCTTGATTTGCATCATCAACTAGTTTATAAAATTTCTTTGCATCTTCATTTATCCCTTCATGTACTCCACCTCCTTCAGCCACATCTTTAAATGTCTCAAATAGTAAGCCATCGATATCATCATGAGATGATGTTTCATCATCACTATCACCATCAAGATCTATAAGACTCTCATCTTCACCATGATAAATCCATTCAGTGTATCCCTTTACAAATCCTTTACTACATAAATGGTCATACACTACATCTCTTACTTCCCAACTATCATTGCAACATACAGAACAAGGACACAAAATCTCTTCTTCTTCAACCATTCCTTTGGTGAATGCAATATCCAAAAAGTAATTTACACCGTCCTTATAACTTTGACTGTGTGGAGGTAACTCCACCCAATCCTTCTTTATCATGTTTGGTTTTCTAAAATGAAATAAATTATACATTACTCTTTATCATATAAAAGATGGAAAAACACCATGGTTCATATATCAACGTAGCTTTTACAAATGCATAGTTATTATAAAAATTTCATTTATAATCTAAATATAAACTAAACATGCATTCCAATACCAAACATAGAATAAATTGGTGAACTTTTAATCTAAACATGCACAAACATTTCATAGTCTAATATAATATGTATTTGTTGTTTCTTTTCATACTATATAATATGTATCTGTTACCTGAATTCTTTGAACTTGATTCCAGCAGTAATAGAAACTAAAATCTTGTCCTTAGTTACAAGCGACTTCGATTTCAACACAACTTCCTTCACTGCAACAACAACAACAAAGCTAGTAAATGAAACGGAAAAACCAAGAAAGCGCGCTAAGCGCAGTTTGTGAAACCAGAAAAACCAAAATATTATCAGTTCTGTCATGGAGTCCCAAATCCCTAACTCTACACTTCAATCCAATTACTCACAACATATAGATATGAAATACAATACATTTACATGTTATTATTCAATTAGAAGCAACATGTAATAAGTATCTCAAAAACTTTCAATGGTATGGTGGAAAATTTATATTTCTTATGGTTATATTTTGGTTCTGTTGAATAGTTTCAAATCTTTAAAATCAAACATTGATAACACAGTAATAGTAGGTGTATGTTATGATAGCATAGTAATAGTAAGTGTATATTTTACGTGATGTTGTTAGCAAGACATACCTATGTTTCAAATGAGAATAAGCTATAGCAAACATGTGCATATACATCATGGTCATCACTAGTTAGGACCAAATGAAACATATATGCTACACATACACACACGTAGTACTAACTGTAATAGTGTACTAGTGGAAATGAGAATAAGCTATAGCAAACACATGCATATACATAATCCATATATTACTGTAATGCACCATACACTCTACATCAAATATTACTACAATGTTCATGCAAACATTATTCATACTCATGCCAAAAAGCATGAACACGGTGCATTATGCATTATCTTGGCGGTTGCTCACTGTTAATGCAAGATGCATTATTTTGGGATGGGGATCACATGGTATTGAAGAGTTCTCTTGTGACAAAACTTATTTCGGCTCACTGTTAATGCAAGATGCATTATTTTGACAAAACTTATTTCGGTTCTACACAATTACAAACTTATTAAACAAAATTTGCAGCACAATCACCAGCTAAGAAAAATTATCATTGATCTATAAAATACTCAGAATATCTTCCTCAAATATAATCAAATAGAAACTCTCAATTTCTTGTGTTTCTCGCATCTAATTCAAATAACTCAAGACAATTGTTTTGGATTGATGGAACTTCAGTTCCTGTGAAAAGAATTGATGCAGAAGAGAGAGGTGAAAGAGAGTTTAAATCAGAAGTTGCAGCAATAGCTAGTGTTCATCACGTGAATCTTGTGAGACTTTTTGGGTATTGTAATTCTTCTTCAGCTCCTAGGTACCTTGTTTATCCTTAATCCAATGGCTACAAAATTTTGAATAAATAAATGAAAATAAAGTATTGTTTTAAAAAAAAAATTAATGGTATGGATTGTAACAGAACCATGAACATGAGAGAAAGAACGGGAGAGGATCTAAATTCTTTAGAACATCTTCGACGGTGCAACCTATTTTGAGTTTTTTGTGAGACCCATGAAATAATTGATTCAATTTTCATTTCAATAAACTCTAAAGAACCGATATTAGATCCCACAAGTTTATCTTATATATTAATATTTTATTTATATTAAGTTTTATTTTAACTTGAAATATTAATTTAAGTTATTTAAATTAATATTAATATAAAATAAAATTAATAAATAAATTAAATTAGATTGAAATTTTATATTAATTTTGAAGTAAAAAATAAAATTGTGATTTTGAAGTAAAAAATAAAATTGTGAGAATTTTAAAAAAAAAAGTGATATAATTATGAGAGTGAAATTGAAAATTCAAAAGAAAATAAAAGTGTGAGAAAAATTAAAGTATAAATTATTTTAAATGAGTTTATTTATAATCAAATAAAATATTAAAAAACAAAATAAAAAAGTTATTCAACAATGACTCATTATAAAATTTATTATTATCTTAATGAAAAGTTAGTTTTATCATCGTTGCATTGTGATTCAATGGTTTGTCAAAGTGAGAAATTCCAATGATCTTTAATATTAATGATGCTCTTATTTTTAGTTAAAACATAAAATTTTCTAATTTAGGAAATTAAAAAATATATTGGAGGTTTCTAATTTGAGAAATTAAAAAATATATTAGAGGAGAGATTTGTAGGTTTTGGAGGACTTAGAAAAATAGTTTAAATGTAATTTATATTATTATAGTATTTCAAAAATTAAAAAATGTTGATGATAAATACAATTTTATCATTTTAAATAAATTTTTAAAAATATTTAAAAATATTTTAAAAAAAAATATTTTTCAAAAGTCACTCTTCCATTCCATTCCAAACTTTTTAACAAAGTCTAAGGTATGACAATGTAACAAAGTCTAAGGTGTGACAATATACTTTGTGTAACCAATCACAACACGACTCACATATAATTGTTTATTATTTAATATTATTTTAAGGTCAAATATTTAAATATATTTAATTTAAATTCAAACTGTTACACAACTCTAACCTTAATTTTTATATATTTTTTTAATTCTTTGCATCGATTTCAATTTAATATCTTCTACTACTACTACTACTACTAATAATAATAATAATAATAATAATAATAATAATAATAATAATAATAATAATAATAATAATAATAATAATAATAATATTAAATCACTAATATCTAGTTAATAATAATATTAATAATAATAATTTAATAGATAATATTATTATTATAATAATAATAAAAAATAATAATAATAATATAATAACTAATTATCACAATTATAAATAATAATAATAATAATAATAATAATAATAATAATAATAATAATAATAATAATATATTCAATTAATTAACACTATTATATCTTAATATCCTAATTCTCATTTTTTATACAAAAAAAATTTTAATTCTTAAATAATAATAATAGTATAATAATATTAAATCACCACTGTTAATAATAATAATATAATATCTAACTAATAATAATAATAAAATTATTATCACTCTTTTTTTTTAAATTTTTTATATCAACTCCAATTCAATACCACAATTAATAATATATTAAAATAATAATAATAATAATAATAATAATAATATAATATTAACCACCACTAATAATAATAATAATAATAATAATAATAATAATATAATATATAGCTAATAATAATGAAATAATAATAATAATAATAATAATAATAATAATAATAATAATAATAATAATAATAATAATAATAATAATAATAATAATAATAATAATAATAATAATAATAATAATAATAATAATAATAATAATAATAATAATAATAATAATAATAATAATAATAATAATAATAAT